ATTTGTGGCTAACCCATTTGTACAACTCAAAATAAGAATCGTTCTTCTCTTTCAGCAACTCTCGTCCACTGGTGTCCCTAATTTTGTAACCATTTTTCTGAAGTCTTGTTCTAGATCAGAACCTCGACTCCGTTTGAATTGATGATGAATTTTTTGCCCTTAACCCTGTAGAGTACTCTAGTCTGACTAAGTCAGGTGCATGGATATGGACAACATCATTTCACTTTTACATCCGTACTAAGAAAAGATCTTGTAAACTTCTGATTGTTGAAGGAGCATCATGGATATCATGTCCAAGTTGCTGTTCTAGTCCCTCGTGCTCCTACACTTTCTGCAAAGCCATTTGGGATACTTTAGAGCGCAAAGATGTTTTGCCCTCTGATTGGCAACATTGAAGTTGAGTTAGGAGTTCAGCCACCTTGACTAGTTTTAGGCTAGTTCTCTCAGATGTGAGGAAATTATTAGGATTTCAGAAGAAATATGATTATAAATAGAGTTTGATTTAAGACTAAGGTTGATTTCTTTTGATTACCCTGATATTTGATTAGCTTATGATGTCTTAGTAGTTAGTTCCTTTGAATTTAAAATACTGTAATTACGCTTCAAGTTTTACTGACTTACTGAGATAGAATATTGATTACATATAGAATTTCAGACTCCTACATTGTTTCTCTCTCTTTCCTTCTCCCTTTCCCTTTCCCTCTCCTTGTCAAGTTATGCATCACTAGGGCTCCTTGCGCTACTTTGAGCTTCATGATGGGGAATACCTTGAGAAGGGCGCACACTTTTTTCAAATTGCTGCCTGCTTCCCCAAAAAAAAAAAAAAAAAAAATAATAATAATAAGAAAAAGAAAAAGAAAGTCTGGTAAAGAGGACTGCTACTTATCACTTTCGTAACTGTGTAACTTAAAATTTCCTATGGTCCTTTTGTTAGATCTGTAGATTATGGTGTACCGTGCTTCGTATGGTTAAACAAGTCTGTTGAGTTGGAATTGTTATAAAGCGCTGGAAAGGCTAGAATTTGGAATGCATCATTATTTAAGATGAAATTTTCTGGGCTGGGAAGTTATGGAAGATGCAACATTGCCTCTGTTTGACGGACATTATTTTGAGAAGAATATATTTTCCTCGACAGTTTGTGTGCCCACTGTAAAATGATGGTGTAGTCATGTCAACCTGTAGGGCATTTTCAATACCCTCCCATCTCATGAGTTAATAGGTAGTCTTCCACTTTCATCCTCACTTAAATAATCACCTACCAACAGTGCATCCACTTGCAACAGTTTAAGCACAAGTTTTGTATCTTGAACTTCATAATTAAAGGAAGTGAATAAATCAATTATAAGGAAACGCATCAAAATAAGTATCTAATCATGAGTCTTCGAAGTAATATCTATCACGATCTTCATCATCTCTCTGACTAAAAGAACTCAACTCTAGGTGAGGTAGACTTGAAATGAACTTTCTTTATGCCAAAAATCGGCTTTGACCTCCTAAGGCAACGTAAGGCGTATATCATTTATAATGGGAGGAATAAAAAGGAGGGACTAATAACAAAGTTGTATTGGAGTCATGAATGTAGATGATACTAGAGGCTTAAATTTGCTCAAATATATTGACCAATCAAATATTAATAGAATTAATTTCAATTGATTGAATTCGAATATGCCTGACCACATTTGTCTCTTAGTACAAATTTCATCTCATCCTAGAAGGTTATAGGAATCTACTATAGATGTAGAAAGGTTAATTTCCAGACAATAATACTTTGCAAACCGTACTAGTTTCGCACGAGCAAATCGAACACACTGAATGCATTGTTAAAAAGGATCAATTGGGTATCGAGGTGTTCCATGATGTGATGTATGTTGAGGCATAAGCTTCAAGACGAACCAATAAAATAATGAAAAAATTAGGAATAGTAATACACTCATAATAAACCATGAACCATATTAGAAATACATAATAACTCTGATGCTCGGACTTCATTGAAATAGTTGGAGTACCTGTGTCGGATCCTCCATGACAAGGGTACGGGTATGTGTCGGATCCTCCAAATTTCAACCGGACACTTCATTATTTTTGCTTCTTCTTTCTTCTTTTTCTTCTTTCTCCTTTTTTTCTTTTCCTTTTCTTCTCTCTCATTTTTGCTCTCTATAAACCTAGCGTCGTTGTTGAGAGGGTGGAGAAAGGCGGCTGCGCTAGGTTTTCCCTTCTTTTTCTTCTTTCTTTCTTTTTTTCCTTCTTTCTCACTGTATCGGTGGTTTAGAGTTTTGTTTGTTTAAAATGAAAATGAGTTCCATATAGTGCTACTTAGTGCTCCACTGACTCCAAATTACAATCAAGTCCCTCATTTTATATTTTATATACCATTTTAGTAATTCCCATAATTGAAAACTAAACCATACAATTCTATTTTATTCGTCTCAACCTCTTATTCAATACCTATTTCTTTTTTTGTGAATAATTGATTTTGATCTATTCAAAATGACATCTTGGATTATTAGAAAAATTGAAGTTTGAAAGACGTAACCATGTACCTCTATTCGAAATTTTTAGCCATGTACCCATATCTTACATTTTGAAAATAAAAGATCCGACACTTAGATACGTATCCGTACCCGATACTCGTACTCGAGTCCGAGCATCATAGCATAATAAAACAAATTAACAAAATTGAAATTAGACTGTAAACATATATAAAAATAGATAATCGATAGTAAATAATAAGTTCTGAAATTAGTACATGTATAACAATCATGAAATCTAATATTTTAATAGTAACTACTAAGAGGTCTTCTTGGACATATTTGATTCCCATATCATTCTCCTCGTTGCTATTATTTATTTATGTATTTTTCATTCTTTGTCATCATATTCCACTTGCAAAGGTGCCTTCTCTTTTGTCATCCCATTAATAAGGAAAGCATAAAAAGGAAAACATGAACCCATAAAACATTCTAGGCTATGGAGAAAATAGCTCAAAAAGCTTGCCAGTATTGGAAAGTTCAGAAAAGACAAAAAAATGAGCGCACACATCAGTCCCCATGAGCTTTATCTGTGAGTAAGGTTCACCGAGTTGAGCCTTCTGATAGGATAGAATTTCTAGGCTACAATGTTGTTATTCTGAACATTCGAACAAACTTTACCTAGGCAAAGTTAGTTCTAGCAGTCTATCTATACCAAAATCTCTAGTTCTCAATGGCAATGGATTAGTGCAAGTTGATTTACAAAAAATAGGCAAAGTAAACAGTACTATATTAGTGTTCTAAAAAGCGCGCCTAGGCAAGATGCACGGGTGATAAGCCAGTCCTTGACAGTGAGGGCAAAATTAAGGGGTCAACTGCTAAATTGACCACTTAATATGCAGTTGACCGCTGATGCGCGACTAGGCACGCTTTATTATTTTTTCCCATTTTTTTAAAAGCCTTTTATTTGACTTTAGTTTTAAGTTTTTAAATGACTTTATCCATACAAAAGTAAAAAATGAAAATACATTAGAAAATTTCAAACAAAACAGTGGCTAAAGGAAAATTGGAAAACACTGAAGCTTGACTGCTCCAAATTTAATGTGCCTTCCTCAATGGGTTCAAGTAAGGAATTCGAATTTGATGAAGATTGAAGACAATACGTTAACTAGTTCATTTGATTTCTAATAAATATTCTTGGACATTTGGTGTAGTTCATTTGATTATTAAGTAAATATAGTATTTTATAATTTTAGATGATTTGTATGTATTATTTTGATTATTAAATGATTTTTAGAAGGATTAACAATTTAAAATAATATTAAATATAAGAAAACACATTTTAGAAAACACTTGATTGTAAGAGAATGCAGTATTTTTTATGTCCTCGTGCTGTAAAATATGAGCGTGTGTGTGTAAAATCAGACATTAGATTTTAATTGCATTAAGTAGCAGTTACTAGAGAGTTCACAGATATTTAGTTAGACTGCGTTTAGAGTCCTTGGTGTTCTCTCTGCTCTATTACTGCAAGTGGTTACTGGAGAAAACAAGTCTGTGGCTTTTGAGAGTCTATCAGTTATTGTTTCAAGATTCACATATTTGCTGCCTTAAATATAATGAGGTCATTTATATCTATTACCTAAGTAGTATGAATAGTGCAAGTTTTTTTTTTTCCCCAACTGAATTAATATTAAATGATCTGGGTTTAGTTACAAATATCCATGACAAAGTGATGCAGGGTTAACTAAGTGCATGTGAAAGATGTGGAGATCTTGTTCACATCTTTTGTGTTATCTTTTATCATGTGATGCGATTCTTATGGATATTCTTGGAAGACTTTCACTAGACTAGACATTCGCTTTAGGCAGAAGAATAAGAAATATTTTGGAATTTATTTTCATTGATTTTCTTTTATTTCTTTTCCACAGCTACTAGGTTCAAATTATGTATAATTTCATTTATATACTTTGGGTAACTTGGGAATAGATTTTTGGATAAAACAGACTTGATTATTGAAAATTTAGATATATTGAAATTTTCAACACCCAATTTCTTTTCTTCGTTTGTTCTTGTGCTTCTCTCCTCTCTGTTCCCCTCTCCCTTCTTCCCTCTCTTCTGTTTCTAGGTATTCTGCTTCATCTTCATTTTTCATATTGTTTTGGTTTCAAACTTACGTAATATTGATCATGTGTTTTTTGATTCAGTGAGCAACAGGAAAGTGAGTAACCTAGAGAAGGGAGTTTTGCTCTTCTTGTACATGAAGCACTAGGGTCTATCAGATAAATAAATGGCTCTTAAATGCGGGTGTCTTATCTCTTATGCATCGCTCTAGTGCATGAACTTGTTGTATTGAAAGTCTTTATTTGATGAATCCTATAAACCTTCTCTTGAACAATTCTCTTCTTTGTTAATATGTGCTTCTGCTTTCTGCCGTTCGGGTACGATTGATCCTTAATAGATATTCCTATGCCTAAGCTTTGCTGCATGCCTGCATCAGTATGTAGACCTTATTGTTCTTGGATTTTATCTTAGATTATGAATACTCTCTCTGGGGCTTGCCTGAGGGTAGCACTGAGAGGACAAGAGTTAAATCTGAAGTTCATGCCAGGAGTGCATTTAGGCTTCAAGAACTTTGTTTTAAAAATGGTGGAATATATATCAAGCTTGGTCAACATATTAGTCAGCTGGTATGTATTCTTGTGCCGTTTTCTCAAATAATAATTTTAGCATCCAAATTTCAAATGCTAATTTTGATCTTCTTCAGGAATACTTAGTGCCTGCTGAGTACGTCCAGATAATGAGAGAATCAATGTTGAATAGATGCCCTGTTTCGTCATATGATCAAGTTTGTCAAGTTTTCAAGAATGAGCTCGGAGGGGCTCCAGATGAAGTGAGTATACATCATCCATTTAAATATCTATTGAAGTCGTATGGTTATTCTTTTGATGTAAATAATTCTTCCCTAAATCACCAAGTTATTTGATCATTCAAATGATAAACCCAAGGTGCGTTTACAGATTTTTGCCGAATTTGATCCTGTGCCCATTGCCAGTGCTTCTCTGGCGCAGGTTCACGTTGCCCGCACTCATGTGGGAGAAAAAGTTGCTGTAAAGGTACAATCTTCATTGAGAGCTACACTTTTGTTGATAATTTTTATAGGTGATAATGATATTCGAAATTGACATAATTTGATCTCTACTTCAGGTTCAGCATACTCACATGACAGATACTGCAGCTGCAGATTATGCAACTGTGGATTTAATTGTTAACACATTGCATTGGCTCTTTCCTTCTTTCGATTACAGGTTTGAAATGATTCTTACCAGCACATTTTTCTTATATGCCCTGAGAAAGCTTATAAATTTTGAAGTCACATAGCATGTGAATTATATTAATAGTCGCAGAAACTCAATAAAAACTTCTGAACACATTGTCTTGCCAATTTTACATCTTTTCAAATCAAATGAAATTTTGAAGTTCTTGAATGTTCACACAGGTGGTTGATTGATGAAATACAGGAAAGTATACCCAAGGTTTGTTGCTGAGCTCAATTATTTTCAATTTTCCCCCTTTCGGGTACATGACTTAATGTCTCACCACCAATTGATAGTGTACTAGATCTCTTTAGCCTATTCATGTTTTGGAAAAAATTTCTCCCTCGTTTGATGAGGTGCAATACAGCTTTGTTATTGCTTGAGATTCTTGCGGTGCTTGTTCAATCTATTTACATTAACTGGATGTTAGATAAAGTGTTGTTACTGTCAAATTTGTCTAAAGTCTGAAGAAGTTTTGAATTAAATTATTTCCAACAACATGCTAAAGCTGCCTCTAAAGTTTTGACTAAGTTGAGGTGATCAATTTTTTTAATATCTTTAGCATAATGGAGATGTCATGTGTATTAGGTTTTTGATTTACTAAGGAAATCCAGAAACCATCAGGGTTCTTTACTGACTGTTGCTCCCTCAGTCATACCAAAATAATTGAAGGAATCTTAAAAATTAAAACAGATCAATATTCATATGCTTGTATCAGAATCGGTTTCATCTAATTAGTCCATTTTTCTTTTCATTATAATTCTTCCTCCGTTCTCCATTGTAACTAGATTACAGTTTTCGGCGTGATTCGTTCTCCATTGCAACTTAAATCATATCAAATGGGTAATTTGTTCTAAGATATATGTGCTCAAGTTTTTTCATTTCTTCTCATTTTTATTTTCGATTTCCAGATTCCAAGCTAAAAAACATGATATCTGGCAAAATGTTCCTTTTTCATGCACTGAACTTAGATACTGTCCTTGCAGGCAATCATGTACCTTCTATGTATTATCTGGGCTATCTGAAAATCCTTTGTCTCCTATTCTTGGAACAAACTTTTGATGAGTTATAATGTTGTTCTCAGGAGTTAAATTTCTTGTTTGAGGCCAGGAACAGCATAAAATGTATGGATAACTTTCGGAGGTTCTCTCCTCATATTGCAGAGTATGTTTATGCCCCAAAAGTACTTTGGAATTTGAGTACCTCAAAATTGCTGGTTATGGAATTTATTGATGGCGCACAAGTAAATGACTTAAAGACCATTCAGAAGCTTGGAATTCAGCCTAACGATGTTGCAAAATTAGTGAGTTGATGGGTGTCTCCTTTAAAATTTCAGTCAAGGGGTATCATGAAAGTAGTATGATTTGCTATTGAGTGGAAAAATATCTTTCAATAATTAATGGTCCTTACCCATATCTATTAATCTTTTGCTCCCACATTACTTCCTTTTGAATAGATCATCTAGACCATTATGGTATTAATGGCCCTCCATTCTACGTAGTTATTATTGGAAATAAGGACAAAGGTATTAATAGCTCTCCATTTTATGCAATTATTCAGTAGAATATGCTTTAGGATTCTCACTCATTTCTAATAAGATGCTTTACTCTATGCAGTTAAGTCAAGCGTTTGCTGAAATGATGTTTAAACATGGTTTTGTGCATTGTGACCCACATGCTGCCAATGTGCTAGTTCGCCCATTACCTTCTGGCAATAGGGGAATTTTTGGTAAGGCATTATCTCTTGATTTTAATTTTGGAATTTGCCTTTCGTACACTGCTTTCCTTTCCTACCTTAAAATATAGGGTTAATTATTCATTTGAAGTTCCTCATACACAACCAATACACTGTAATGATCAACTCAGTCCTAGCTTATTGGTTGTGCTTGAGTATAGATTCTGATGTTATTCATTTTTTTATATTAAATTTGTTGATCTTGTTTTATTTTTATTACAATCTTGTGCATCGAACATTCTAAGGACATATTAGACAATCATTACCACCTGTAGCCCCTTGAATGTGCATTTTGGGATATTCAGTAACATGTCCTTTTCCATGCTTGAATTGCATCACTGCAGTCGAAGAAAAGTAAACTATTTTTTACACCTTGTTTCTTTGTATATTCGATGTTCTTCATTCTCCAAGTTGCACGTGCACTTATTTTTGTTTAACCGGTGGTGCATTTATGGAGACGAGTGTGCCATGGACTCTGAACTCTGAAAGGCATGGTCCTCTAGGATTTCATATTTAAGCCTGTAAGTGCCTGAAATAAAGCTAATTCCTGAAGTGGATCACCCAAGCCCACTGACGAAGTCCTTTAGTCTGTTTTACGATGCTTTACAAACAGCCCCCACAAGTTCTATGGCATATCAAACACAAGTTTCAAGGGATAAACAGATAGAAGTCCCACTGGTTTCCAACTTACTGTGTTCATTTGCATGTGTTAATGATGCCATAAATAATTAAACAATGAGAATATTAACATATGTCAGAAGAATGCGTAGGACTGAATATCTCAAACCTGGATGATATCCCGTGGGAAACAAAGAAATACCCTAATTTAGAACTCTATTAACCTAAGAAATTTTTTTCTGACAAAAGGTTGTATTCTGACACTCTTTCAAGTTGAATGAGATATTTCCAAATTGAAAACTGGTGCATTTGTCACATGATTAGACTTCTAGCATATGAAACTACATTAAGTCTACCTTCAAGTTCCATCCGTGCACATTTACATACTTTTGATAAACCACCCATATGATTTACATATGAGAGGCATGACAAGAAGGGGGTCTAGCTAACTATGGTGCAGTTATGTAGTGAATAGAGGCTGTTGGATTATATGAGGTAGGAATTAGTTATGCTGATGTGAGGATTGTTTAGGGAGGGAATAAAAGGGGGGTAGTAGATTCTAGAAAGTGGGAAATCTCTGAATCTTTTGGGAGAGGGGAAGCTCTCCAAACCTGCCTGCCTTCTTGTCATTTTCACTTCTTTTCTCTTTGTACTATTCACAGTTTATGCAATACAGATCGACTTTTTCATTTACAATCTGTTTTCCTTTACAGTTTCTGCTTCCTTCTAAGAATTAATTGCTTTACTGAGGGTAAATTTATTGTTTCCTGGAGCAGATTTCTAGCAGCTTTCAACTTGATTTTGGCTTTTCTGTTAATTCAGTTGCACGTGAAGTAGTGCTAAATTTGACAGGGGTATGTATAACTTGATATTCACTGTGTACCGTGCAGGAAAGAGAAAACCGCAATTGATACTGCTAGATCATGGTCTATACAAAGATCTCGATGTTCAGACTAGAATAAGCTATGCTTCACTGTGGAAGGTGCATATTGTTCCAGAAAATTGTGTTTACCGTTGGTGTTTCTCACTATGAAATCCCACTGGTAATATAATATCCTGGCATTCATTACAGGGATTGATATTTTCAGATGCCAATGCAATTAAGGAAAATAGTGCGAAACTAGGTGCTGGAGAAGATCTTTATGCATTATTTGCAGGAATTCTTACGATGAGACCATGGAACAAAGTTATTGATCCTGCTGTTGATCATCTGGCTGTCCAAGGCACCGACAGTGATCGTTCAGAACTCCAGGTGACTACATGGAAAAATATGGCCCTGTGATTATCATAGCTTTCTTTGATTCCATGGTTCTATCCTCCAGTTTGGATGGATTTAAATTAATATGTTTGATATATAGCTATCTATGTTTATTAGGATAATGTTTGTAATCAATAGAGAATAATTTGATATATATATTATTACAAGGAGAGAATACACAATATATATATACAACCGAGAGATCTAAATAGGGAAAGAGAATCCCTATAATTACGCTATAATTATTTATGCTAACACTCCCCCTCAAGTTGGAGCATAGATATTAATCATGCCCAACTTGTTACAAATATAATCAACCCGAGTCCCATTTAGAGTTTTGGTGAAAATATCTCCTAATTGTTCTTCAGTTTTCACATATCCTGTAGAGATTAAATTTTTTTGTATTTTTTCACGGACGAAATGACAGTCAATCTCAATATGTTTAGTTCGTTCATGAAACACGGGATTAGACGCAATATGAAGAGCAGCTTGATTGTCACACCACAACTTTGCTGGTGTTGAAGTCTTAAGACCAACTTCAGTTAAGAGTTGATATATCCACATGATCTCACACACAGACTGTGCCATAGCTCTATATTCTGATTCTGCACTGGATCGGGACACAACATTTTGGTTCTTGCTTTTCCATGAAATCAAATTTCCTCCAACAAAAACACAGTAGCCATGGATCTTCGGTCAATCTTGGAACCTGTCCAATCTGCATCTGAGAAACATTCAATGTCATTGTGTCCATAATTTTTGTACAGTATCCCACGTCCAGGAGCTCCTTTTAATTAAATAAGGTCTGATCTAAAGTTGCCTAATGGTATACTGTTGGGGAAGACATATATTGACTCATAATACTGACAGAATACGCAATATCAGGACGAGTTACTATAAGATAGTTCAATTTCCCAACCAGTCTTCTATACTTCTCAGGATCTTCAAACAAGTCACCAACTTTGGTAAGTTGCAAATTAGGAAGCATTGGAGCACTGCTTGACTTAGCTCCCGATTTTCCTATCTCAGTTAGTAAGTCAAGCACATATTTTCTCTGAGATAAGAAGATGCATTTCTTGCTTCTTGTAACCTCAATTCCCAAGAAATACTGGAACACTCCTAAATCTTTTGTATGAAATTGGGTGTGAAGAAAGGACTTTAGAGATGAGATCCCCAAAGTAGTACTACCAGTAATAACAATATCATCAACGTACACGATAAGGAGAATAATGCCAAATTCAGTTGGTTGTAGAAGACTGAGTGGTCAGACTTGCTCTTTTGCATTCCGAACTTTTCTACAGCCTACCTAAACTTTCCGAACCAAGCACGTGGACTCTGTTTCAAACCATATAATGATTTTCGAAGATGACACACTTTCCTATGCTCCCCCTAAGCAACAAACCCCGGAGGTTGCTCCATATAAACCTCCTCCGAAAGATCACCATGTAAAAATGCATTTTTAATGTCTAATTGATGTAAAGGCCAATTATGAGTAGCTGCCATAGAAATGAATAAGCGAACAGACGCCAACTTGGCTACAGGAGAGAAAGTATCACAATAATCCACACCATAAGTCTGTGCATAACCCTTAGCCACAAGACGAGCTTTAAGCCTAGCCACGGAACCATCAGAATTGACCTTGATTGCAAACACCCACTTACATCCAATAGCCTTCTTTCCTGCAGGTAAGTTTACTAAGTCCCAAGTACCATTAGCATCTAAAGCATTCATCTCCTCTATCATAGCTTCACGCCAACCAGGATGGGAAAAGGCTTCATGAACAGTTTTCGGAAGTGACAGAGAGTCGAGAGAAGCAATGAAAGAACAAGAGGAAGAAGACAAGTTATCATAAGTAACAAAAGAGGAAATAGGATAAGTGCACTGACGTTTACCTTTGCGGAGGGCAATCGGTAGAGTAAGATCACTAGACACTGGATCCGAAGCCGAAGAAGAGATGGGCGCCGAACACGCATCATGAGGGTGACGTCTTCTGGAATAGACCTGGTAAATGGGTGGTGGTGGCGTTGGCGGGGTGGGAACAACATGTTGAGAAGTAATATTAGTTGCCCGAGAAATGACATGATAAACTAACAGATCATCATCCTCCCCCTTATTGAAAGAAATAGAAGAAGTAGGAAAGAAAGGGATATGTTCCAGAAATGTAACATCAGCAGAAACAAGATACTTGTTAAGATTCGGACAGTAGCACCGATACCCCTTTTGGAGACGAGAGTAACCCAGAAAGACACATTTTAAGGACTTTGGATCCAATTTTGTGACCTGGGGGCGAACATCACGAGCAAAACAACTACTACCAAATATTTTAGGCTCAATAGAGAACAATGGTTTGGTAGGAAAAAGGACACTATAAGGAGTCCCACCATGAAGAACAGATGAAGGCATCCGATTAATCAAAAAACAGGCCGTGGATACCGCATCAGCCCAAAACGGTTTAGGAACATGCATTTGGAACAAGAGTGCCCGTGCTGTCTCAAGAAGGTGTCTATTTTTTCTTTCAGCCACACCATTCTGAGATGGCGTGTCAACGCATGAGGATTGGTGTAAAATACCATTCTGAAGCATGAAAGTTTGAAAAGCATTGGAAAAGTATTCTTTGGCATTATCACTTCGCAATATTTGTACAGAAACATTAAATTGCGTTTTAATTTCAGCACAAAAGGCACTAAAATGAGAGAATAATTCAGAACGATTTTTCATTAAATAAAGCCAAGTCACACGAGAGAAATCATCAACAAATGTAACAAAATATCGAAAACCAGTTTTGGACACGACAGGACATGGACTCCAAACATCTGAATGAACTAGCTCTCTTATTGACTCGAGGAACTGAACACAAACGATGATGTTTTGCGAACTGACACGACTCACAATCTAAAGACGACACACTCTGAAACTGAGGGTATAATTTTTTCAACAAAGAAAAAGACGGATGGCCCAAGCGACAATGCACTTCAAACGGAGTTAAGACACTTGAACATGCAATGGGTTGGGGCACCTGGGTATCCAGGAGATAGAGACCGCCTGATTCATGTCATTTACCAATAATCTTTTTCGTCATAAGATCCTGAAAGAGACAATAATCAGGAAAAAATGAAATGCAACAGTTTAGGGCTCGAGTAAGTTTGCTCACAGACATTAAATTGAAAGAGAATTGTGGTAAACTCAAAACGGAAGATAAAGACAGTAACGGGGTTGGGTTAATAGTGCCAGAACCAAGAACAAAAGACGTAGAACCATCAGCTAAAGTAACATGGGAAGGAGACATGTGTGATTGAAAAGTGGAAAAGAGATTAGGATTACCTGTCATATGATCTGTGGCACCAGAATCAATGACCCATTTCGAGGAAGATGAAAGAAGGCATGTATCGGGTTTACCTGTCTCAGCAATGGCAGAGATGGAGTGAGACGAATTCTTTAATGCTTCTTGGTACTGGGTGAATTGAGCAAATTTATTTGCAGAAATCTGTATGGTCCGCTCAGCGGATGAGATAGGTGTAGCAGTAGTAGCTGCAATGTGAGTCGAGTGTGGCCGCGAAGATTTATTGAGCAATTTTCGGCACGTGCGTTTGGTATGACCCTGTTCATGACAATAATAACATACAACCCCCCTGTCATCCGGACTTCGAATCTCCCGACTGCCTATACCTCCGCCCTTTGTCAGACTTCTGCGACTGATAAGAGCACTAGAAGACTGAACAGAGGAAGCACCAAAAGCACTAGTATCTGTGCGAAGTACTCGAGTAAAGGTCTCTTGCAGAGAAGAATTTTCAGCACTAGATAGAATTTGGGATTTAGCAGGTTCAAATTGAGAATGGAGACCAGCTAGAAAACTCATCACAGCCATTTGCTCCCGCTGAGCCTGCTGAACTTTCACATCGGAGCTAAAAGGTAACAAGACATTTAGTTCTTCGTATGTCTTCTTAAAATTCATAAAATAAGCCTGAAGAGACTGATCTTGTTGTTCAGCACGGTAAAAACCCTTACAGACTTCGTAAATACGTGACACATTCCCTTTTCCAGAGTACATAAATTCCAAATACTCCATCAACTCCTTAACATACTCACAGTGATTAATCAAACCGACTATCTCAGTGTCGATGGAATTCCGAATTTGTAAGAATAATCGAGCATCATCTCTTAGCCAAGTGTGGGTAGTATTATCCGTTGGCGGATCTTCTGTAAGATGACCAGCCATAGAGATACTTCGCAAATAAATCCGAACTGTCTTACACCAATCTAAATAATTTGGACCAATCAACCTATGTTCAGTGATTTTGGACATTACGGGAATGACATCAGTCACAACCAAATTCTTTTGTTCGGTAGCCATAGAAAGAAAACCCAATATCCAACTTAACACACCTACGCAAGTCCACAAAAAAAAAAGAAAAAAAGACACAAATGATTAAGGCCCAATTTAAGAAAACAAACCAAAGAACCAGTGCCCACCAAACAAAAGTGAGCCCAAACAAAATTGAGCCCACCAAACGAATGAGCCCAAATAAAATTGAGCCCACCAAATCGAAATACTGACCAACCGAACTTGAAGCACCAACTAGAGAACTGAACGGACTGGAAGCGTGATCCACTCACAGAGGCAGCCTTACCTCCCAGAAACGTTGGCGACGACGATGGAGGTGCGACCGGTGGAAGCTCACAGGGGCAACACACCGAATCGAACAAATCCCCAACCCCTTCCAAATATACCAACAAAGAAAGAATGGGAAGCACCTACCCAAATCCAAATCGAATGACCCAGACAATGAGGCAGGTGCAATTGCTTGGACAAATCCCACCGGAAGCGGCGAACCGAGACGATTGAAGGCAGATCGCGCTTGAAATGACACCCGGCTGAATTGGAAACGCGACGAAGAAGGCCGAAACGTGAAGGAGGTCGGACCCCGAAGAAGAAGGCAAGAATCCACTTCTCCCTGTACCGTCCGACCGCAGCAGGTAAGAGTTCAAAACCCTAGCTCTGATACCATGTAATCAATAGAGAATAATTTGATATATATATTATTACAAGGAGAGAATACACAATATATATATACAACCGAGAGATCTAAATAGGGAAAGAGAATCCCTATAATTACGCTATAATTATTTATGCTAACAATGTTTAGTACTTCAGTTTAATTTGTTACAGTAACCCTTTTTTTTTTTTTTTGGTTTGCAGATGTATGCTTCACAATATTTTTTTCAAATCACAGAGCTTCTGAGGAGACTCCCTCGTGTTATTCTTTTAATGCTCAAAACAAATGATTGCTTGCGTGCAGTTAATCAATCACTGGTATGAAATTGTTTTGAACTATTTCAATTATAGAATTTTATTACTTTACATGATCTAAGAACAATATTTTAGATATTTCGACCTCGGATTCTGAACTTCTATATAATTGTTTAGAAGTCAGTTGTATGGCCCTGAAAATCACAGTCTGCCACATACGTGGTATACATTAACTCTTGCCGTGATTTGTTAATATGTTATTTATTCAGGGGTATAATTTCTTAATCTGGCTGAATAAATGTGGTTATTATCCATAGTTTTAGTTCAGTTTTACTTGCATCTACCAAATTATTTTTCAAAAATTTAGGAGAAGTCGACATGTCTATTTTCGGCTATGGTTCATGGAGGGGTAGAGGAAGAAGATGCATTTCCTCTAATAAGGAAAGTCTTACTTTTCACTCTGTAGCCTATACCATTAGTTAGCAAGGGGAAGTAAATGGGAAATGGAAAGGTAGAGGGGAAAGAATTGATGCGAAAAGAAAAAAAATATTTTATTTGAAATATACTGTCATTCCCAAATTTTCTTAGGCTGCAAACTGTAATTGAGGATAGTCGTCTTTTCAGTAATTTGTCCCTTCTGCCGAATTTGGGAGGTGAAGAAAAGTAGTCAATGACAATCAAATAAGGTGATGTTCAACATTACTTTCGAGCATTGACTTAGCTTCGTTGCCATTTGTCCTCTTATTCAAACGCAGGCATTATTTTGTCCTGCTTTATTTATTTAAGAAAAGTTTGATACACGATGAAGAATTCAAACAAATTTTACTTTTCTCTCACATTCCTAATAAGCACCACTTTGTTTCTTGAACAGATGCAAGGATCCTCTTCTGAAACATTTTTGATCGTTGGAAGAGTCTCTTCTGAGGCAGTTATTGAGTCAAAATTGTTACAGAGCAGGTCTTTTCTATCTCGGGCACTTGTTTGGTTGGAAGAATTTCAGCTACAAGCTCGGTTGTTTGTAATGCAGATTGCACTATGGCTTTTGAAACTTCAAAAAGCTTTGACATTGTGAGACCATAGCGTTGCCACATAATTTTTAAAAGCTAAAATTATTTTTTGGGCGTATAGTGTTTTATTTTATTGCGGCTCATCTCCCAGTTTTTGACAGTCAAAAATTGTCTTTGGGAGTTATTTCTTTCTTTCGCTTTTTAAATTTCGAAGAGGTGTATTCAATTCCTTCAATTGTACAAGTAATATGTAAGGATTTTAATCGAACATGTGGACTTATATGTGAAATATTGTGTATTAAATTAAAGACTAACAATTTTGGTTAAACCCGTTTAAAGTGATCTAATAAGGTTTTTTTATTTTGGGTTTTGAAGCATCTAATTAAAGTATGAGTCTTTATGTGTAGAGATCGGACATGTCATGATTTCATGATAGCCCGAATTAGGCTAACGGGCCGTTAGTATATATACAGATATGGTTCTCGGATCACACGTGAATTGTTCATTCTGTTTNATCTAATTAAAGTATGAGTCTTTATGTGTAGAGATCGGACATGTCATGATTTCATGATAGCCCGAATTAGGCTAACGGGCCGTTAGTATATATACAGATATGGTTCTCGGATCACACGTGAATTGTTCATTCTGTTTTGACTTCCATCATCAGAGAGATATAAAGAATTATGTGTTGATCTGGAAGATTGAAATTGCATGACTAAATCATTGCATTAATCATGTCCGATTCAGGTACGCTTTCGCTTTGATTCACGAGTTTTTGATGATCCAGCATGAACGATAAATATGACGGTAAAGAATTTTCCCAACAAGTGCTATCAGAGCTAATTCATGTTGAATCATTGAGAATCGAAATTTTAATTTTGTTCTTGTGATAATTTCATTATTTTTGAATTTAGCAATCTGGATTTAGTTTTTGTTAAATTTGAATTTTTTTTCTTGCGTGTCTTCCATGATTTAGTTTTTTTAAAATAAAAAATAAAAAAAATTCACACGGCGTTGTAGCGCCTGTTCTCGCTACAAGGTGCGCAGTGCTTGTCGCTGCAGTCGACAGCGACTAGTGCTGCTTTGGGGTTTTTGAGGGGGCGGTTCTTGTGAGCGTCGCCAAGGGTGTCAACAAAAAAAAAATTTTTTTAAAGGGTTTACAGGTTATGGAATTTTGAGGGCAGGGGCTTATGGTGTAAATTAGATGGTTTCAGGCTCTTGTTTGCAATTTCGAATTAGGGTTAGGGTTGCAATTTTTAAAATTAATTTTTATTGATTCAGTCCCTTAAGTTTAAAACTTTGGTAATTCAACTCGTTAAGGTTAAAATTCATCCAATTGGGCCTTTAAAGTTTCGAGTTTAATAATTCAATCCCTGAAATTTGAAAATTAATTAATTTGGGCCATTAAAATTCTGAATTTTTAATTAAGCCCTTAAAAGTTTCGAATAATTAATTTTTGACTCCTATAATTTTGAATAATTAATTATTGACTCCCTAAAATTTTGAATTATTAACCCTTACACCACTAAAGTTTCAAAATAAATCAAATATGCAAATTCGGTGATTTTCTTCTTCAAAATTTGGTACAAATGACTCTTTTGAGAGAGATCGGAAATGAATTAATTGAAGCAACATGTTGCCGAAGGAACATTTCTTGTGGAAATTAATTAAATTAAAATATTAAAAGGTGTTTGTGTGTGTTATTCATGCGAATATTTGATCGGCCTAAATGAATGTCAATATTTGGCTGAATTGTACATACACCCGTGGTGATAAACATGTAGCGATTATTTGGACGTGTTATCAATAAATCGATGCAAATAAAGATTTATTGATTGACATGTTTCTTTATTTTCAATGTTTGATCACTACACTAAGAGTACCACTTACAAGTCAATATTTCTGTCCAAAAACTAAATATTGATATTGTTTTAGGTATCTTGTGATGGGTCCTACCATTATTTGAAATTATTATTTGCATATTAAGGATTGTGAGCTCTTCCAATTAATTGTTCTCTAATTAATGTTATGCTAACAATATCTCTGCTAGCATCAATTCAATTACAATGCTTAATGGCATCA